AAATTGCAAAAAAAAAAAAAAAGTCCCAAATACATGCCTAGCCATGAGAGAAATGATTTTTGACTTACTCACAGTGTGTATCTCTCATACGCTTAGCCTGGATAGAGTAACTACGGGAAAGGGTTTTCAGAGGAGCCAGAAGGAAACCAAGGCTGGCCGGGTTAGCTCAGAGCCTTGCCTTCTGGGATTGGGGCTTGGGGCTCGGGTGAGGAAAGGAAAAGGTACCAAACAGGGTTAAGAGCTCACCACTCCCTCTACCTTCCACAGGCCTTGGATGATGCCAACAAGGGCATCATTGAAGAGCTGAAGAAAACCAACTACAGAGAGCATTTCAAAGAAAAGAAAGACAAAGGTGAGTTCCTGGTATTAAGAAGGCAACTTCAGTGATTCCCTTTTCTTTCTCTGCCTTCAGGCCTAGCCACATGTCCCAAAAGCTCCCCAGGTCTGGGGGCTTGGTGTTGTCCACTATACACGCTGATTTCAGTGCCACCAACAGTCCCTGAATGTCCCTGGGGCAAGAGAGGGAGAGGGTTCAGCTCACCTCAGGCTGTTGGACCTGAGAGCCCACTCATTTATTTCTTCACTTGTTTTACCAAGCACCATTGAGCACTTGTCGTGTGCTAGGAAAGGTAAGATTCTGGGGAGATAGAGGCCTGTCTGCAGTCCGGGACAAAGCAGGCACTGCCACAGAGGTGGCAGAGAGAGCACACAGCAGACGCCTCTGAGGAGGAAAGGGAGGCTTTGATGAGGAGGAATCATCTACCTCTGGCACCAAAAGATGCCCAGGAGTTTTGCAGGAGAAAGGTGGAAGGGGTAGGGAATTTCTAGTAGGGAACAGGAGGAGCACAGACACACACTCTCTGGCAGAACAGTGGCAGCTACACTTTTGGGGGTTCTTATTGCATGCCAGGCACTGGCACCAGACAGGAATTATCTTGTTGACTCTCACCACCCTAGGAGGTACGTACCATTTGGTGCAAAGAGGCTGAATAAGGTATGCCACTTGCCTGGGTTCCAGAGCTGGGAGTGGGGGCCCAGACTCTACTCTCCCCTCTGTGTAGCACTGAGCTTGGGCCAGCAGTGGAAAGGGCAAGTGCTAGAGGGGTGCCAGGTTGGGCTGGGGTGCAGAGGCTGCCCAAGAGGTGCCTGTGGTCCCAGCTACTAAAACAATTACAAAGAAAAAAGCAGTAGCTGATCACCATTCACACTTCCTGTGGGCTGTACCTTCTTCTAAAGGCTTTGCACACACTTGCTCATCTGATCTTTCTAAGGACATCATGAAGGAAACATTAATTAGCATGTTTTATAGCTGAGGGCATGGAAGCAGGGGTGACAGTCCCACGGGGGCTTTGTCTTGGGCAGTGTGGCTCTAGAACCCATACTTCTGCCCTGGTGTCACACTATTTCTGGAGATGAAGATAGCCTCTGCCTGCCCCCATCCACCCCCCAGCAGCGCCTTCTGCCCAGGCAGATTGCAGCTAAGGGGAGCCAGGGCTGGGGCCTGGGAGGACAGGTCAGTGCAGATTCCTGGCCACAGCCCTCCCGGCTATACGGTTGAAGTTCTCTTCCGTCCAGGCCCTGCAGTAGCAGCAAGTTTCTGGGCATGTGAGCAGCCAGATGATGGCCCTTTATTAGGTGGCACCTGCCACATGGTGGCCAAACTCCCTCAGATAGGGCTCTGCCCTTGCCTCCACATACCCTTTGAGCTGCTCTAAGAAGGTAGAGAAACGGCAGATGAGAAGAGAGACAGCTTGAAAGATAGCTCCTTGTGGCTCTCCCTGCCTGCCCTTGGCCAGGCTGAGTGTCCTCCCACAAACTTTTCTCCAGAGCTCTGTGCTGGAGCTGCTAGGCACTTTCCTCTCAGAACAGCAGGTGGCAGCATTGCATGTGTGTTCACCTCTAAAGGGCTGGGAACCCTGATCCCTGAGAGCCTGGGCAGGTGCCCTGCCTTACACAGCAGGGCCTTCCAGAAAAAGTGAGGGAGGCACAAATAGAGATGGGTGACTTTTTTCTCTGTAACTGGTGAAAACAAGGAGCTAGGTTCTCCCAAGCTGTAAAACAGCTCTGCACCTGAACTTCATACTAAGCAGCCTGCTCATACTTTGATAGGAAACGTCCTAACAAATAATGAATGTGCTTCCCAGGGACCAAGAAAAAGTGATAGAATAAGGATGCTGAAGAAAATTCTTCTGTCATTTCTCAGCACCTGTGCTCACTCTTCCCCTTCCTCCTTCCCTCTCTTCCTTCCTTTCCTTCCTTCTTTTTTTGGAGACAGAGTCTCATTATGCTACCCTCAGTAAAGTGCAGTGGCGTCATAGCTCACAGCAACCTAAAACTCTTGGCCTCAAGCAATTCTCTTGCCTCAGCCTCCCAACTAGGGAAAACAGGTGCCTGCCACAACACCCAGCTATTTTTAGAGATGAGGTATCACTCTGGCTCAGGCTGGTCTCAAACCTGAGCTCAGGCAGTCCAACCACCTTGGCCTCCCAGAGTGCTGGGATTGCAGACACGAGCCACTGTGTCCGGCTCTGTGTGCTGTTTCTTGTAGGGAGAAGAGAATATACTCTAGGGTCAGAATGTCCTAGATTCAAATTGTCACTCTGCCATTTACTTACTTTCAGTGTGATTGTTATGTGATTTCTATTCTAGCAATCTCAGGTACTTTGACTCAAAGTCTAATCAGTGACAGTTTCATGACAACCAGATAGTATAATCTGTACAATACCTCATATGATGTTGTACTGGCACTCAGTAAATGATGTTTCCCTGTCTCTCCTTTTGGACAGGTATAGTGTCTTAGCACCAATTTAAAGAGCTTGTGAAAACAGTTGTTCTCAAGGCCTTCTCACATCTGCTTCTCAGCACAGGCCTCCACAGAGATGAAGAAACTTTCATCTTCTCTCCTTTCTGTTACTTTTCAGAAGAGGCTACTTCATTGTTTGAAGATAAAACACTAACGGCAAAGAAGGAAAAGAGTGGAGAGATAGATGAACCTGAGAAGGTGATGAAGGAGTGGGAAAGAGAGCAAATTGAGAGTGACAAAGAGACGGAGGACGATGAGGGTTTCAGGGAGGGTCCAGAGAGTACAGCAGGTAGACAGCACAGAGTGGGAGCCGAAAAAGCCAGAAGAGATCCAGGAAAAGGTGCCAAGGAACATGACACAAAATCAGGAAGAACAGGCAAGAAACTACCAGCATTGGGCAGAAGACTATCAAGAGACATTTACAGGAGGCCTTCTGGAGAATCCAGTCAAAGACTCATAGGAGAATTGAGCAGAAAAGAATCAGAAGGACTAGAGAAGAAACTTTCAGAAGTAGGCAGAAGAAAGTTGGGAGAACAGGGAGAAACAGAATTGGGAGAAAAAGGAGAAATTAAAAAAACAGAAAATGGTGAAAAAACAGAAAAGGATTAAGAATGAAGCTATGGTGAGTAGGTGTTCAGATCAGGAGGCTGATGCTCAGAGGGTACCTGAGATTGCTAGATAAGATTTGTCTTAAATAGGACAAATGAGGGATTGGGTTCCTCAGATCACCTCTGCCTCTTTCTGTCGCTATTTTACCATTAAATAGATACCTTACACTCCTACAAACTCTGAGTGTTATCATTTCACCTCCTCCCCTGCACCCATTCTCAGAGGAGCCTCATATAAGAAATGAGAAAGGTGCTAAGAAGAAAGGGTTTCAGGAGAGTGAAGAAACAGATGGGCTTCAGGGAACCCAGCAAGGTTAAAGGAAGGAGGAAGGAGGCCTGGGAAGGGAGATGTGTGTCTGCACAGCAATGACACATTGGTCATAGTGTTGAGGTCTACTGTCTCCAGGACACAGGTGGGAAGATTTGTGGAAGAAACAATGGTGGGACAGCCTCAGCTAAGTATGGAAGGCGGAATGTAGCAATGCTGGGACTGATGAAGGGCATTGTGCATTAAGGCCCAGAGGAAGAAAACTCCAGCCAGAGTGAAAGGCTAAAGAAACCCCAATTTGCATTTTCTTTCCTCCTCCCCTTCAGCACTTAGGCCTTTCAGAAATTAGTTGTTAAACCAATATATCCTGCGGAGACAGGGGATTAGTCCAGAGTAACAGCAGACCCTAGTAAAACCACATTCCTAGCCTCGGTTCCCCTGGTAACTAACCAACCTCCAGCACTGTAACCCTAACCTTTCAAAAATTCTACCTACCACCTTCCCACCTCAACTGAGAAAAGGTATAAAAACCCTTCTTTTTTATGCAGGCACTGAGAATTTAGAATATGAATCCATCTCGGTCAGCTAGCCAATAAAAGACCCCATACCTAATTTGAGCTCAGTGTGCTGGCGTTTTCTCTATAATTCCACTCACATTGGGTACAACAAAAGTACAGGGGAATAGCCCGGGAGTCTGGGCAGCAGAGGCATTCCACCTCTACCACCATCAGGTATGAAGCTTGTTTCCTTCTGTGTATAATACGGTACCTGCCTCAGGGGTTGGTGTGGCGCTTATGAGCACTGCTCTTGGTACACAGGAAACTCAAAACTCCAACTGAGCTTTCAGAGGCTTCACAGAGGAGGTGGCACTTGAGCAGCTGGTCTAAGACCACTGCCGTCCTGGAAGATGGGTCAGAGCTGAGTATTAACTTTCAGCTTGCATAGGGCCTCGGAAGTAGGGTGAGGCAAGTGAGGCATTTCACATGCAAAACTGAACAGGGTGCCAACGATCTCAGTAAGATAAATATATTTTAATGCAATATTGTAAGAAAAAAATTAATGGAAAACATCCATGGTGAATTAAAATCAAAATTTAAAGACAAGATCTAACATTGAACTTGCACGATCCTGCCTCGCTCGCTTAACCCCGGCGCTGGCTGGAGAAAGGTGATTGCGTCTGACGTGTATAAGAGGAGAAAGCAGCCGGCGAGCTCCCGAGCACTGCAGCGCACAGGTGCGGCTCAGGCGGGCCGCGTGGCGTGAAAGACAAGGCGAGCACGAGTCTGAGTTTCGCTTCGCGGCGCCTGCGCGCGGTGGTGCCGCCCCGCCCTGGCCCGCCCCCGATCTATGTAAGGCGGCCGGGCTCGGAGTCTCGCCACTGCCGGACTCCCGTGTCCCTCCGCGCAGGCGGGCGGCCCGGAGAGCTAGTGCTTGCGCAGGTGGCGCCCCCCTCCTCACCATGGTGAGCGGACGCGTGGAAGCCGGAAGCAGGGGACAGGGGATGCAAGGGAAGTGGGAGGCGCTGGCCGGGCACGGGGGTAGCACCATAACGGCAAACAATGCTATTTGGGGATTCTCGGGAGGAAATGACATGCAAATGCGGACCCTCGGCTCCGGGTCTGAATTTAAGCTGTTTTGGGACTCCAGGGCAGCCCCAAGGTAGGACAGAAATGTGGGGAGGTTGGGGGACCGGGCATGCAGCCGTAGGAGGAAAACGGTGGCGTTTGTGAGGAAGGGAATCCGGAACTGCAGAAAATGCCGCTGCCTGGGGAGACCCTGAGGAGTGGGGGGTGGGCCTGGACCTTAGGGAGCGAGACGGTGTGCCCCGGCCGCTTCCAGGCCAGGCTCACGCTGGCCTAGGCCGAGAGAGATTAAACCACTCGCCAGCTAAACTTCGCGGGGGCAGAGAGGCGGGGCCAGGTTAGTGCCGGAGAGGATTTACATAAAGACTCGTTACTGGTGGCTTTTAGCAGACGGGAAGAGAAATGACTCAGAGAGGTGCGACTACACAGAGCAGAGTGGTGGAAAGAGCTAGCCCCTGAATGCAGGTACCCTGTGCCGACCAGTCCTGGGGCAGGCACAGAGACCACAACTTGGGGCAGGGGGCGGGAGAGGGCAGAAGAGGAGGTGGCGGTCACGGTCAATGAGGCCCTTTGTCCCTTGCTTGCCTGCCCTGCCCCCCCATCCCTTCTGTGGGACCATTGTCCCCTTATCCCAGACAAGAGAGTATTATCTGTTGCTGCCATTGTTGGGGGAAGGGAAGCAGTCTGGGGGGTAACCCTTCTTTGCCCCCACCCTCTTTGCACAGTCAGAGCCAAGGCAGCTGTGGCTTGGCCCAGACACAGGGACTCCCCACCCCCCAAAGAGGACGTCCTTAATTAGTGCCAAGAATATAAAAGTTAGCGACAGTCCCAGAACCTCAGTCTCTGGGCCTGCTGTGCATGCACTCCAGCATGTTTTCCTTTTAGAGGTGGCAGCAATGGGTGCTCCTTAGGAAGAAGACAGTAAGAGTGTAGAAGAGCTTTAGACAACCCTCTCCTTCCTCCATCACCAGAAACAGGTACTCAGGGACTGAAAAGGAGAGAAAGTCCAGTACTGAGCTGCTTGGGAAGGTGGCCACAAGCAGGCCAGAGAGAGGGGCAAGGCCGGCAGCGTACCTGAGGCTGACTTGGGCTGACACCTCCTCCTCTTCTCCTTACACAGAACAGAGGCTTCTCCAGAAAGAGCCACGCGTTCCTGCCCAAGATCTTCTTCCAAAAAATGTCATCTTCAGGGGCCAAGGACAAGCCTGAGCTGCAGTTTCCCTTCCTTCAGGATGAGGATACAGTGGCCACGCTGCACGAGTGCAAGACGCTCTTCATCCTGCGTGGTTTGCCAGGAAGCGGCAAGTCTACATTGGCACGGGTCATCGTAGACAAGTACCGTGATGGCACCAAGGTGGTGTCTGCTGATGCTTACAAGATCAACCCTGGCGCTCGAGCAACCTTTTCTGAGGAGTACAAGCGGCTTGATGAGGAACTGGCTGCTTACTGCCGACGAGGGAACATCAGAATTCTTGTGGTAGATGACACCAACCATGAGCGGGACCGGCTGGAGCAACTCTTTGAAATTGCCGACCAATACCAGTACCAGGTGGTGCTGGTAGAGCCCAAGACAGCATGGCGGCTGGACTGTGCCCAGCTCAAGGAGAAGAACCAGTGGCTGCTCACAGCTGAAGATCTGAAGAAGCTGAAGCCTGGGCTGGAGAAGGACATCCTGCCACTCTACTTCGGCTGGTTCCTGACCAAGAAGAGTTCTGAGAACCTCCGCAAAATTGGCCAGGTCTTCCTGGACGAGCTGGGGAACCACAAGGCCTTCAAGAAGGAGCTTCCACACTGTAGGTGGCAAGGTGTGGGGGGTGTGCAGGGACACTAAACTCCTGCACCATTTGCCTCATTCGTAAGCCCACCACTGCTGGGTACAGGATGCTGTGCATTAGAATCATCTATGTACTCAGAGGATTGGGTGATGACTGGGGGAGGCAGATGGAGCCCACCTGGAGGAGGCAGAAGCAAGTTGGTGCTTCAGAGGCTGCCCCAGGTAGTGGAAGCATGGTGGGAACACATAGGGAGGTACTTCCCAGAGGACTTTCCCTCTCACTGCTCCTTTCCTTCTGGCCCTCTTCTCCTCAACTGTCCTCTCTCAGACTGTATTAGACCACTGGCCCTGTCTCGTGTCTTGGAAGTGGGAAAAACAGTTTACAGGCAATGTGTCACTGTATAATACAGCCTTTCAGGGAGGATCTGGCTCAGTGTTTGCAAACTCAATTTTAGCAGCAGAACCATGTTCTCAAACAAAATATTAACCTAAGCTGCAAAAAAATTAAAACTAATACTACTGTTCTTAGACTGGGGAAGAGTTCCAGGCCTTGGGCTAGTTGATGTAGCCACCAGTAACGTCGTATCCCATGGCTTCAGAGGACATGAGTCTCATACATAGTCTAAAATCCCTTGCTTTCCAGATGGGAAAACAGAGCCAGAAGGGATATGGGGGCTGTAGCCTTAGACTCTGAACAGGTGTTCTGCCAAAGGCTTTCTACTTCAGTAGAAAAGTAGGTTAAGGATAAAGGGGAACCGTGGTGGCTATCATTCTTCTGTAGTAGCCTACTGGGGAAACGTGGCTCTCTATGCCTTTAAGCCATTTCTGGCTCCCCTCCCCCCACTTTTTTTTCTTTTGAGACAGTTTTACTGTGTCACCCTTAGTAGAGTGCTGTGGCGTCACAGCTCACAGCAACCTCATATTCTTGGGCTTAAGCAAGTCTCTTGCCTCAGCCTCCCAAGTAGCTAGGACCACAGGTGCCCGCCACAATGCCTGGCTATTTTTTTGTTGCAGTTGTCGTTGTTTGAGCTGGCCTGGGCCAGGTTCCAACCCGCTAGGCTTGGTGTGTAAACTACCCACTAAGCTATAGGTGCAGCCCCCCAATTTTAGATTACCTTCATACTTGAAATAGTCCCACTTGTGTTTTTTTTTTCTTTTTTGCAGTTTTTGGCTGGGGCCAGGTCTGAACCCACCACCTCCCGTATATGGGGCTGGCCTCCTACTCCTTGAGCCACAGGTGCCACCCCCTACTTGTGTTTCTTTATATTAGCTTGTATTGCTCAAAGGTGGAGTTCTCAGGGAATTTTTTTTCTCAGGTCCTGAAGCTCAAATTCTGCAGACAACTGTGGTGCCTGCAGTGACAGTGACCAGGAGAGCCCTCTGCCTGTGAATAGGTAGGGGGTAAAGCTCCTGAAAGACAGGGCTCCTCCTGGTCAGAGCTGCTAGCTTTCTGCCCTGGATGTTTGCCACTCAAAGCTGCTTTTACCCTGCATACAAAACTGCAATCCTTTTCTGCCCCGTTTACAGCAGGAGAAACATAATGGATCAAGGACAGGCTCACAGTAGAGGTCTTCCCCACTGTGGAGGGTGAGACATCCTCATAGGGACTCAGTCTGGGAATAAACAGGAAAAAGCTAGTGACTTGGGGTAGTGCCTATGGCTCAGTGGGTAGGGCACCAGGCCCCATATACCGAGGGTGGTGGGTTCAAACCCAGCCCTGGTCAAACTGCAACAAAAAAACAACCGGGCATTGTGGCGGCTGCCTGTAGTCCCAGCTACTTGGGAGGCTGAGGCAAAAGAATCGCCTAAGCCCAGGAGTTGGAGGTTGCTGTAATTCATGATGCCACAGCA